ATCAGCTCATTATGAAATAGGAAGGGGACACCTCACATGTTCTTCCTGTTGGTCCCATATTTCGGGTCCTTGGGGAATTTTTCTTAAAAAAAAACTCATCCCCCAATAAGTGTAGGAGCTATTGAACAAGCCCCTTTAACTATGAAATTTTATCGGAAAAATCTTTTAGAAGTGTGAACCACAATTTACTGGAAGAAATATCCCTCCCGTCTTTTTTTACCAACCCATGTGAAGATTACGGTTAAAACGCTGTTCAGTGGGTTTTTTTGATAAAATATATGGTTAAAGGAGATTTTCTGATAAAATCTAAATTTAAGGTAGATTTTTTTAATATATATTTTAAAAATTACAGGGTGTCCCTGATAATTATCTAAAGGTAAGAGGTTTTGTCTGATATTTGTCCCTTTGTTTAGTGGTCATGTGATATTGTGGGGATATTCATATTCATGGGAGAGTGTGGCTCATTTTCAGAGATGATGTGGTCGAAGGTGGGGAGCGTGAGTCTTTTTTGGACATTGTGATATAATAATAAGAGGATGGATAAATTTTGAAAACAGATCCTTTTGTAAAAATATTCTAAAAAAAAACTCATTTCTACTTTATTTTTAAAAAACGATCTAGTTTTAGCCTCAGTGCTGAAACTGGGTCGGTTTTTAGAAAAAATGTTTCCAAACTTCACGGGAGTTGAACTCCCAACTCCCGTGAAGTTTTGTTTTAAAAAAACTTCACGGAAGTTCAACTCCCGTGAAGTTTGAGAATATTTTTTGCAAAAAACGTCCTAGTTTTAACCCTGAGGCTGAAACTAAGTCGTTTTTTGTGAATATTTTCAAAACAGGTCTTTTTTGAGAATATTTTTGCAAATGGGTCTGTTTTAAAATTTTGCCCATAAGAGGATAGTTCTTGATTTTAGAATATAAATAATTCAGCTTACTCATTCTTTGAGCTATTGATATGTCATGTGTGGTATTATTTAATGTTTGTCATATCGGGTGTAGTTTCTATCCTTGATAAATATGAAGTTTCGGCGGACTAATATCAAAATACGGGACAAATACCTATAAAACCCTTAAAAGAAAGAAATCTTGTCCTTGTTTTAGTAAAGCTCATTTTGAAACAAATTAAGTTAGGGCATGCACTTTGGCTGCATATAAAATTTTGGTTTGTTTGCGTATATACCCCTCATATCATCTATGTTTGCAAAATTATCATCTATATTTACAAAATTACCCCTCATTAAACTTTGTGATGGTATTCCCAGAATATTCTTTTTTTATTTTAATCTAATATGATTAATTACCTATTGTCTAAACTACCCCCAAGTTAATTAGTCCAATTCCTAGGTTTCTTTGTTAAGTTAATTAATCCAATTTCTCTGGGATGGTGAAGAAAAAGTCCCATGCTTTTTGATGGGTTTCGCTTGGAAATAGCCATGGAAGGTGGAGCGTAAGAAAAAATAAAAATTTTTAAAAGATAAGAGAGATATGAGGCTTCATTTCATGAAAAATATATTTTTTTTAAAAACCCATGAAAATGTCCTCTCCTCTTTCTTGCGTTCATGAAAATGGGTTAACAGAGAAGATGAGAATGGATTTCTTACCCCCTTGCCGGTCAACGCTTCACCTTTAGAGAAGCATCATTTGACAACAGATTGCATGCGAGCGGTCAATCAGTCTGAGCCACAAACTTGAGAGGCAAAATATCAATTTCGCCTCCTATCTAATTCCAGCTAGGGCTTAGGCCGGCCGCTCGCATGCAGTCGGTTTTGATAGAACGAGTACTCATTAATTTGGGTATTGTTTAAATTTGACAAATGATATAGATATACAATCATGCCTCCACAGTTTAATTGTAACTCTGTTAGAAGTGAGGGGTATCTTATTTTATTTTATTTCTATTTTTGATGAATGAGATGGTAGCTTTGCAAATACTAAAATTTAGAAAATATTTATGCAAATATAGATGATTTAAGGGTTTTATATGCAAATAACCCATAAACTTTTTTTATTGCTTACTAAAAAAACAAGTCCAAACAAATTCAAAGGAAACATCCCCACGTGAAAGAGAAAGCATCAAACTGTGATGGGTGCATGACTTTAAATACAAACTAGATATCAATCATTAGATTATTAAACATTAAGATTCGTACACGGATCCAATGGTTAATATCCATTTAGTGCAAGTTAAATGTTATAGACCTATCTCCACTAGATATTTTTTCATGTGAAGAAAACATGCTCTTCCAGTTTTTCCTCCGTTTTTTTAATATTTTTGGGAACAAATTTCTCCTCGTTCTTTATCAGACAAATCAGCGTCTCGAAAAGGAAAATTGTTAGAATCCCCAATTTTATATAAAAACAAAAGAAACAAGCATCAAACTCTTAAAAGATTCTACATCCGATAGCCAAATGTCTCCACGCCATTTTTATTAACTTTCACGATCACAGCGACGCAACCCTTCACGCAATATAATAGTCAAAGTGTTGTGCGCAGCGGAAATTTCGGCAGAGTTTCTGATGCATAATAATAGAGAAAGATCCCAATAAGAATTCCCGTCTCACCAAGGAGACAGGAATCTGAAGCGAATATCTCAACAAAGTGAGATATCGACTCTTCCTCTCATCAGTTCTAGGACTAACTTGTCGAGAGATCCTAAAACTATTACAATGACCACAAACACAAATAAACCAATTTTACGTGGTTCGACAAACTGCCTACGTCCACGGGGCAAGGAGGGAGAGATCTACTATTAGAGAGGAGATAATACAATTAAGGTTTACAATCACTCAATGTAAACCCTCAAACAAATACTCTCAAACCCCTCACAAAAGTACAGCCGTCAAAATCCAAGAACAACCGCCAAACAACCCAAAGAACAGCTGCAAACTTCTCCTTGTACAGTACTTGCACAAGCCCCTGTTTGCTGCTTACGCGCTGCCCGAAGCCAATCTTTTTGCACGCTTCTCCTTGCACAAAACTTAGCCGTCTCTTTTATGAACCCAACTGCACCCCCTCAATGAGTGCTGCTACGGGGACCCAAAATATGGGACCAAGAAAGGGGACAGGTGAGGTGTCCCCTCCCTATTGCATAATAAGTTGGCATGAGTTGACATGACCAACTCATTATGCAATAAGGAGAGGACACCTCACATGTCCCCTCACTTAGTCCCATCTTTTAGGTCCTTAAATCATTTTCCCAAACAAAAAAAAAACACGACCGCAAACATCACGTTCACCTCATTGCTTTGCTGCCACTTTCTTCAATCAAAATTTTTTTTCTTCAAGTGGGTTGTTGGCCCCACCACGCTCATTCACACAAAGGACAGTAGACATTTTCATGCAACTTATTATTAGTGACAAATAGCTACCAACGCCTCAAAAAGTTCCAATTGTAATAAATAAATCTCTATTATGACGCTCTTTGCCTTTGCTTTTGAACAATTTGTCATCGCAAAGATGAAGTTATAATACAATTAAAAGTTAATTGCGGATAGGTCCCTGTAGTATCGCTGTTTTGGACTTAGTTACCTTCTGGTTTTATTTTTTAAGATAGACCTCCGGAATGAATTTTTTTGACTCTTTTACCGTCAGAGAGCCTGTTTATCGAGAAAAAAAAATTTATCCTTCCACGTGTTAGGTTATGAGGAGTCTAATTTTCAGACCCGGCCCAATTTGCTTAAGTGATCGAATCGTCAAAACCCTAATTACGCGGTAAGTTCAATGGGGGGTGCAGGTGGGGGCGGTAGCCCCCGAGAAAATTTTCCAATGGTGTACATGTAATTTTAAGTCGTACTAATACCCTAGTTATAAAAGGGTGATTAGGACGCAGCTTGTAAACTATTTAGAACATAGTGGAATTACAAGCGGCGGCCGTGGACGTAGCTTCTCTCATCGAGAAGTGAACCACGTAAATTCCGTGTGTTCTGTGATTTGTTTTTTTCCTCTCTTCCCTCTCTCATCTCTATTTCCAAATCGCAACAGGGGTTTGAAAAACCCTAACACCACAAGGGTAAAAAATAGAAAAACAAATTCAGCAAAGATTACCCGATAAAAGTCTAGGGAGCAATAGTTCTTTTCTTCAACAACCCTTTTCAATCAAACCCAAGCCCATAACTGAGATCAACTGCACGTATCCTCTAAAAAAGAGTAATCCAACTTTGCAAATAAATAGTAGTCGAATAGAAATCCCAATTTGCAAGTCCATTCCCTTCTTAGAGAGCTCTCACTAATGGCCTCTAAGCTTAGGAACACAAATAAATGGATTACCTCAAAGCTACAAGCTTCATCTCTACCATTTGATTTTAGGTATTTTCTGCAGGTGGGAGCTCAGGAAGTTTTGCAGGAGC